GGTTGAGGGTTTAGGGTCTATAGGGCTTAGGGTTTAGGGGTTTAGGGTTTAGGGTTTAGGGTTTAGGGGTCTAGAGTTCAGGATTTTAGGGTTTAGGGTTTAGGGTTTAAGCATTTAGGGGTTTAGGGTTTAGGGGTTTAGGGTCTATAGGATTTACGGGTTTAGGGGTTCAGGGTGTAGGGTCTCTAGGGTTTAGGGTCAGGGTTTAGGGTTAGGGTATTGGGTTTGCCTGGGCCCCAAAAGTGTGCAGACTAATAGCCCTTTGTGGGTGTTGGGCCAATCTGTTAACTACTTTGGGGGGTTTAGGCGGGGTATAGGGTTTAGGGTTTAGACCGGGTCAAGCAAACGCAGCGAATTCAGTATGGCTTGGAGGGGCTGTAGTGTTGAGGTTTGCAGGACTCAGGGTCGAGGGGCTTACTTACGATTGTAGGACATCGGTGAGATTTGTTGTTGGGTTTCACCAGCCGTACATCCCGCATTTAACCCCCAATAGACCCTAACCTCGAAACCCCGGAACGGCTCTCAATCTCGCGATGCTTCGGAACCTCCAGCTACATGTCATGTCCGATGCATCTGCGGGAGCACCGAGGGTGAGGCTGGGTACTGCAAGGGTTATTTCGTGGGGTTGCTACAAGAGTACGACTACGATGGCTTGGGCGTTTGAGGCATGGGCTTAGGGTTTATAGGGGGCTTGTGTTCGCAACTTGTGCCTGGTTCGTTTTTTTTTTCGCGTTGTTGGGTACAGCGTTTAGAGAATTCTTGGGTACACCTTGACGATCTGATGCTCAAGGCCGAAAGCATGACAACGGTAGCTTCCTTCACAAGGAGGGAAAACCCTCAACCCTACAAGCCCTCAACAATATAAACCCTAAACCCCCAAGCCCTATAAGCCCTATAAGACCCTAAAGCTTCTGAACCCTATATGCCCTAAACCCTATAATTAAGCCCTATACGCCCTAAACCCTGTAAACCCTATGAACCCTTATAAAAGCCCTAAAATCCTAAACCTTTTAAGCCCTATGAGCCCTAAACCCTGCGAATTCCGGCGTGGGGTTTCAGACTTTCAGGTCGGGGCTCGAAGTTCATGGGCACTCAACTGATTGCTACCCGTTTAGGGTTTAGGGCTTTAGGGTTTAGGTTTAGGGTTTAAGGGTTTAGGGTGTGGGGTTTAGGGTCTAATTGCTAACATTTTAGGGCTTAGGGTAAGAAGGGTTTAGGGTTTAAGAGTTTGGGGTTTAGGGTTTAAGGGCCCTCACTCCCGGTATAAAGAACGACTGACATCGTAGCGAGGCCCCTTAGGCCCTTACTTACTAGTATCCTCTTGGGAAGCCCCAAAAAGGTCTACGGCTTGGTGTTGCCCTTCCTCCTCTATCCATAAAGCGGTCCTTGGTGATCGCTGTGGGGAGTGAGGACAGATCAGATCTTCATCTTGTCGCTCATATGGGTGGTTGTCAAAATCATGGTTCCTTTTTGGGTCCTTATTATAATACGGCACCTATTATTTAGGGTACCCCAAAAGGGACCATAATTTTGACAACTACCCATATCTGAAAGGAAGCCTCTACAAAGGTTCTGTGGGCTTGCGTATATACCTGAATTGTTTCAAGCCTCACTGACCAAGTGCATACATACTTCCGACCGAGCTGCTCCCGGACGTAAAGTAATTCGTTGCGGAGGTGGTCGAAGCGATATTGTGCCAGGAGCTCCTGTCAGGAACAGGAACCCCTTGAACCCGACTTCTCGGGCCCCGAAAAAGCCCATAAGCACAAATTAGGATAGGCTTATCCGTATATCCCATATACATCACCCCGTAATGAAGCTCAACACGGTAGAGATGGTGCAGATTCAAAAACAACAAAGCATCCAGGAGCCCCGTTAGACATGATGAGGCGTAGCATTTAACGCTACGCCTCGAGGCCGCTCAGATACTGGTTTAGGCTCTAAGGGTTTTAGGGTTAGGATTTAGGGTTTAAGGTTTAGGGATTACGGTTTAGGGTTTAGGGTTTGAGGCTTGAGGTTTAAAGGCTTTAAGGATGTTGGTTTAGGGTTTCGGTTTTAGGAGGTAGACTCCAGGTAGATAACCCTGTGCATCCTTGCACTTACACGACAATCTCTGCTTCTATCCCGATCCCGATACCTACAGCAAACCCTGACGCAAGGCCACATATACTATAAGACCTACGCCCAAAACCCTAAACCC